ATAATATAATTAGTATGAAAAAGCCCAAAAGATGGTATCTGAAGACTTTTAGCAAGGGTCTGTATATTATTATGAAGGATTTTTGATCAGAGTATCTTTATATGTAATAAAATGAATAAATGATCAGCAAATTAATACAAAATGTGATAAAATTAAATATGTCTACTATACTGTTATACCTTAATCTTTATTATTTTTTTTTTAATTTTTTTAAAATAATTTTTTTATTATAGATCTTTTGTTAAAATAAGAATACATTTTTTTGATTAATTTAAGAACCAATATTAATACATATTATGTGATTTATGTTACTTCAAAATAACTATATAATATATATAAAGATGCTTTAAAATATTTTCGCTTCTTTATAATTTTATAAAATATTTATAATTTATTTTCTGCTTAAAAAAAAAGCTAAAATTTGTATTTTATTAAAGATTATTTTTTTCTGTTATATAATAAATAAGAAAAATATTTTTTAATTAATTGTTATAAGAATTAAGTAATATAAAGATTATTAATAATAATAAAAACTAGCCTAAATATGAAATTTATAACTCTTAATTGGTTGATATAAACAAAAAATTTTAAGATTTATTATAAATAGGTGAATATAGTAATACTGTTATAATTTAAAAAATTAAAATTAGAAAAATAAATTAAAGTTAAAAATGTATAATAAAAAGAATTTTACATAAATAGAATATATATAAAAGTTAAATGTAAAAAATTATATTTTTAAAAAACATAAAATTATAAGAATAAAATTTGCAAAAAAAATATAAATCATAAATAATAAAAATTAGAGTAAAATAATTTAGTTAGATAAGTTAAAATTTATGATTTATAGATCAGATAGTAAAGAGTATTGTTAAAAAAAAGTCAGGTAAATTATTAAGAAACTATTACATCAAATTTACAGTTGAATTTAAATAGGGTAATAATATGATATAAAGATGTTTTACATTTGATAGAATTGATAATATATGTAAAATTTATTGACATATAAATAGTAATTTATATTATAAAATTTTAAAAGAAAACTTATTAGAAACTATTATATAATATGAAATATATAAAGATAATTTTATTTTTTAATAAAATAATAATCTTAAATATATTATACATCTTATAAAACAAATAATTTGAAAATAATAGGATTAAAATTCTTGATTGCTTAGTATAATTACTTAATTTAAATCTTTTAAAATATCTTTAAAATGAAATAGATTATTATTTAAGACAGTTTAAAATATTTGTTAGAATACAAAATCAGTTATAGAATATAATTCAAAAATTTGAGTTAAATTAGGATTCTATATATATAAAAAAATTAGTTAATATTATACTAATTTATATAAATAATATAATTAAAATTAATAATAACTACATAGAATAATAAATAATTATTTATCAAAGTTTTTATATAATTAGATTGATTTTTGATTTTTTTATATACATAAAAATTTAATAAAAAAATGTTCAAAAGAAAAAGATTACTTAATTAATATTTTTTAAATATTTATTTATTATAATATAATAATTTTTATATTATTGAATAGACTTAGTTTAATAAATAATTTATATAATACAGCATCTTTTAATTATAAGATAATAATATTTTTAAAATTGTATTCAGATAGCTTATTCAAGAAAATTATTTCTAGATAAATAATTCTATTAATTATAGATAATAAAAATAATAATTTATAAAATTAATTTTTTCAAGCGTCTAAAACTTAAAATTTTTTAATTCATTAAAAAAATTCATAAAAATAGATTTAAATTATTTATAAATTTTTAAAACTTTAAAATTATAAAACCTATTATAGCTAATTTGCTAAATCTATTAATTTATTTAATAGGCTAAAAATTTATATTTCCTAATAATATTTATTTAATATTTTAATAGTAATAAAATGGCTCTTTTTAAACAATTTGAAAAATATTTAAAATTAAAAATCTTATCATATTATATAATATTAGATTCTTTCCTATTCATTATATATAGCTTTACTATTTAACTTATTTTTAAAAGTAGATTTAGAATTTTAATTTAGTTTTTATATTAAAAAATTATTATATAATATTAAATTAATAAAAATTATAATTTTCATAAAATTATTTTAACATTATATTAAATAATAATATTAATATAAAATATAAGAAAGGTTAAATTTATTAAAATTATAATTTAATCTAAATAAAAATATTTTATAGAAAAAAATTATAAATATATCTTTTAAGTAAAAAAATAAAATTATTAATCATATTTATTTATATTTAAATTTTAAATTTTAAATTTTTTTAATTTTTAACTTTATTTAATAATAAAGTATATATGATAGGTCATAAAGAAAAAATTAAGAAGGCCTTTCTTAATTTTCTCTTATGACCTACTGTACACATAATTTTATATAACAGTTTTATAAATTTATAAAAAAGTTAAATAATAATATAATAATTATAATAAATATTAAATAATTTTATTTTAAATATTTAATAATATTAACATGTAATTCTTACGAACTATGACTATTAAATAGGATGTTCAAGTGGTTTATTCTTTTTAATTGAGCAGTAATCTTTCAACAGTTTACAAGCTTTAACTCAGATGATTTATTAAAGTATTTATATTATCACAACGAGTTATGATTTAACAGATTGTCAGTAATGTGTATTTGTAAATATTGTGTTTATTTATGAGTAAAAGAATAATAAAGATGAAGAAAATGAAGAAAAATAAAAGAAAATAAAGAAGAAAAATAAGAAAGAGAAAAGAAATGAAATACTAAAACTAAAAGGTGACGCAGTAGGCCAGTTGCCTCTAAAACTACTAAAACTATCTTGTCAAATTCCTAGCTGTCTGTCCTTTTTTTACATAAACTAAAAGCTACTTATTTATATAAAATAAATTATATAGAAAGATATAACTAACATGTCTAATATATCAACTATAGCTAATATGTCAACTATATCTAATATATCAACTATATCAGCTATGTCTAATATGTTAACTATGTTACATATGTCATGTATATCTGATATGTCATATATGTCAGTTATGTCAAATCAGTCAATTTTCTGTATCACATGAGCTACATCACACTTATCTGTTTACAATAATAATATTTTATAATATAAAATTTTAATTTTATAAAAAAAAATTTTTTAAATTTTCTTTATTTATATCTTTTATATTAAAAATATTCATATATAATAAAAACTTTTTTAAAAAAAAAAAATAATAATTTTTAATAAGATTAACTCTATTAATTTTAATTGAATAAAAATCATTATTAAGTTTAAAATGATTTTAATTAAAATATTTATACTGATATTTGCTTTATCTAAATTTTATAAAAGTTAAATTATTAAATATGTAAATATCAAAATACTTTTTATAGAAATATATAATTTTTCACTTTATTTTAGATTAATTAAATTAATTTATTTTAATTAATTCAATTTAAAATATAAATTATTAGCTCTATTCTTATTTTTATCATATCTTGATTCTTATTTTTACATATAAAGTTTATTAATTGATTAAAAATCTTTTTTTATTTCAACAGTTTTCTAACTTTTAGATTTGATTAAAAATCAAAAACTTAAATAATAAATTTAAGTAATTTTAAATATTTAAAAATTAAGAAAAAATTTTATTAAGAACTTATTTTTAAATTATTTAATAAATAATTTATTTGTAAATTTAAAAAAAAAAAATAGTTAATTAAATTTTAAAAATTTATTTAAAAATTTATATATTTATTTATATATTATTTATTATTAATAAAAATCATATAATTAAAATAATTCTATATAAATTTTATAAGATAAATAATAAATTTTTTATTTTTAATTTTTAAATAATTTAAAATAAAATTGTTATAATAAAAATTATATATATAAAATTAAATTAAGTTTAAAAATAAATTAAAAAGAATTTATAGTAATAAGTAAAAAGATTTATTAAAAACTTTTATAATTCTATACTCTTTTTATTATATTTAAAAATATATAGATTTTTAAATTATTTTTATTAATAATTTTATTTCTTAGAAAACATAACTTAAATTATTAATAAAAAAAATAAAAAAAATTTATTAATTAATTAAAAAGATTAATTATAATAAACAAATCTTTTATTTTATATACTATTTTTTTTTTTTTTAAATCTTTTTATATTTATATAATTAATTCTTTTTTTTTTTTTATTTAAATTATATTATTTTAAAAAAATAAAAAATTAAAATTTTTATATATATAAAATTTCAATTTTTACTAAAAATAATTTTACTTTTTAAAAATAATTATTAGTGTTAGATAATAATTAATATAAAAATTTTAGAATGTTAAAAGAAAATATTAAAAAATTTAATATAATAAAATATTAATAGTAATTAAATATAAATTTTACTTTTATATAATACATTTGAATTTATTATATATAATGTATTAATAAAATTATATTTAAAAAATATAAATTACAATGTATTAATGAATAGTAAAATAAAGAGAATGTTAAATTTATTAAATTATAATTATTTTTGTAAAATAAAATAAATATTTAATAATAAACTTTATTTATTTAAAATTTTGTATTTTAAAGCTATTGTAATTTTTATATTTAATTTTAAAGTAACTTGTAAGTATGAATATAAGATTTTTTTTTTTTAATAATAATTAATAAAAAAAGATTAATAAAATAGATATATTAAATTAATATATATGTTTTAATTTTTTGTATATAATAATTCTTTGTATGCATATACTAAAGACAAAGTTTCAATATTTGTTCTTAAAAAAATTAAAAAGTAACTATACAAAAATCCTTATCATTATATATCAAATCTTACCAATAATAATGAATAAATGTAAATACCAAGTTGATATCATATTTGAGAATCTGAAGTTAAAATAATATTACAATCAATAAATAATAGATATAAAATTTGTTGGAAAACAAACATATACCAATAACGATTTTAATAATTCTCTTATAAACTACGTTTTTCATCTTCATTAAACATATCAGTAGTAAATTTGATGTTATATTTATTTGTTGACTCATTAGAACATTAAAAATATAAAATAAATAATAAAATTTTGTTAATAAATAATAATAAAAGTAAAATAATAAAATGCTTCCAATAAGTAAAGAATAAAATTACCTTAATAATATCATCCTTAATACCTTGCGGTAATGAATCCAAATATCTCAAATCACCTTTAGGAATTGATTTTGAATCTCTTCTATGATTAAACTCTACAAGAAAAGCTGGGAAGCCTACAACTTAAACATGCGAATAAAAGTTTATTATGACATTTAATGAATTCGGATATTTTGATTAAGTAAAGAAGAACATGTAACTTACATTCAGCGGGAAATTTTCGCAAAGTTTTATAATCTACATTAGATAATCCAAAACATATTTTATTATCCAGGAGATATTTTCCTTCATCTCTTAATTGATTGAGTTTGTAAACCTCTTGAAGTAATTTATTAATGATTTCATCAAATTTTTTTATTTGTTTTGATTCTCAATATATGTATCGTGAGCTTCTTTAAATATTTTTGGATTTCTTTTATAGTGTTCAAGATCTCTTTCAACCTTTCCTTGTATTATTTTTAATTCTTTAATTTGATTTTGTTGCTTTTCCACTTCATCATAATAAATCGCATTTCGGAATTTTGAAATATATTCATTCCATTCTGGATAATATTCATCTTCAAAAGTACATTTTAAACTAGAAATCTGATTTCTCTTTTTATCAAAGCATGGTTTGGATTTAACTCGAGAACTTTCAAAATCATTAATGTAATCTTTATTTGAATCACAATTATTTGTTCTGTTGAAAATAAATCAAATATTCGTTAATCCAATCCCACTGATTACTTAATAAATAAATAAATTATTATTTTGACATACAATGAATCAACCAGAGATGAATTCTTTCTGTAATAATGAATTAATTAATTATTTTAAAATGCCAAAATAATGATCCCTAATTTTAATAGTTTTAATGATAAAACAAACCTTATATTACCCTCACTTTTTTCCTCTTCTAAAAGTTACAAAGAATTAAAAAATAATACCATGATCAATATATATATTACATGAACAAAAATAACGAACACAAAATTGAATTTACTTGCCATGAAAATCGACACAAACAAAATCATTCTCTTCATAGGTTTTAATTATAGTCCATTCGATATTTTTGTGAATACTATAATTAAGAAAGTAAAATTAACGAAGATTTTTTCCTTACAACATAAAACTCTCAAAAAGAAATAAACCTCATTTTTTTTAAAAAATTTGATTTGAGGCAAAAAAAAAGATTCAATAAAGCGATTTATATTGATTTACATAAAAGCCGCATCCTTATTTGGGATTTCCATGATGTAATATGGTATTACATCCTCCGTTTTTTTCATTCTATAAAGAGTAATCAAATAGTGAAGCATGTCAACTCTGTGTTTGATTTTCGAATATCGAAAAGTATTTTTAATATCGCAAAAAACCCACCCCCGAAAGCAAGGCTTACTTACCTTGGAAATTGAGAATTTTTTTCGGGAAATCCTATAATTTGTCATATGGGTCCTTTGCAAATAGCACTGAATTTAGTACCCCTGTGTATAATACCCTCCCGGTTTATGGGTACAATTTGTAAAATATCCAGAGTTTATGTATTCTTAAAAGACGAAAATTAAAGAAGAATTGTTCGACAAAAAGAGCATTGCGTTTTAATTCCCAATCAAAAATTTTATTATAACAAAAATATAAACAAAATTTATTTTTTTTTGCGTTCTATTATCTCCGATCGTATTATTTACCAAAACTTTATTCAAGAATTTGACCTGAAACCATTTCGCCTTATGTTGTTATTTTTCTTTTCTTTCTAATAATTAAATACAGTGGCGTTCAAAAGTATTACATCGGGTATAAATATAAACAATTAATTTACCTTTAGGTTTCGACGAACTATAATAGTCAAAACTAAAATAATCGACGAAGGTCAAATTATTATTGTATTAAACTTCTTGATCTTTATTTTATAACTAGGAGATTTAATTCTCGCAAAATTTTAGAAAAAAATTTTTTGATTAATTAAATAAACATGGGATTTCCACTGCATACCCATAAAAAAAATTGTCACGAAAATTCACGTGATATGTTTTTTCACCGGTCCATGTTCATTTTTACTAAGTATTATGGGTCAATAATCTTTCCTGAGAAATTAATTTTTGTAATTAGCTTTCAACGTTCTTTTCTTCTATAGTTCTCTAGACTGTTAATAGATTTTAGCAGAGGACTGTCAACGCCATATCATGTTGAAAATATCATATCGTGCTAATAAGCGTGCAGAAAACATTTAGCTGCAACAACGTTCATCCATTGCGTAAATAGTATTTAGAGAGGCTAAAGTAACAAAGTATTTATTGTACTAACAGTTCAAATATATTAAAAAAACGCATACTTGAAAGTACGAACGAACGTTGGTACGCAAGAAATGGCAGAAAGATTCTCGCGACGATCGACAAAACAATCCAAAATTAGTAAATGACATCTTTATATGAATAAGATCTGCATTGTTATCACGTTTTTATTTGTCATATATTATTTGCAATTATGTGATTTAAAAAATTTAAACTTTATATCATTCGGAAATCCGTTTGGAATTTTGATCTTGTGAATGAAATTAACTAAAAAATTGAAAAATCATCATTTTAGAGGTTTGAAGTAATAAAGTCGTGGTGGCTGTAAATGTTGAGGTAAAGGTCAGGAATAAATGCATAATCTGCTGTTTGAAAAGAAATAATAAAATTGGTGACGACATTAACAGACCAAAAATTGTCAGATGATATTAACTTTATTATTCTGATATTTGGATCTTTTCACTAGATTTTTTTTTTTTTTAAACATTGTTATTAAAGTTGGAGAAAATCTAATGCAAAAAAAATCTCATGCACATTTAAGACTCTTTATATTCACTTTAATAAAGCTATCTCGTTAATAAATCATATTTGTTCTCGAGTAATTGTTAGGTAAAGATTTCCTGTCCGTGACCATTAATATAATAATTATTAATTCTGAAAATAACAATGGTCAAGTCACTATAAACTTAATACCTTGAGGCTAAATTCTTTTGGTTTTATCATTATATTCAGTTTGTAAGGTCGTACTGCGGAATATGCGGAATATCCCTTTTAACAGATTCTCAAGAAGTAAATATCACAACTCGTTAATGAAGAAATTATTGCAAATAACGCAAGTAAAGATTGAAATAGTCTGAATGAACATCATGTGAATTGATGATGCCATTGAAAAGGTGAAGAACTAATCGTTTATTGTTTCCAAGAAAGGAAATTTGTTTAGCTTTAGATTTGAAAATTGTGTGGTTATTATGATACTTTTAAGTTTTAGTACTTTATGAAATTTTATTAATTTTCATATTTCTTTTTTCTCATGCGTTTGAGATTAGTTTTTAACCTTAAGTAATTAAAAATAGCGATCATTGAAAATTTTCTGTATAATTGCTAATCGGCTGGAATTAAAAATAAACTTTCCAGAACCCCATTTTGCTAAAAAAAAATGAAACATTTGCTTGTTTTTATTTACAAGGTAATATTCATTCTTCAAAAAAAAATTTTCAGCTTTTTTTCAGAATTATAATTTTCCAGTAAAGTTTCATTCTTTTTTTTTTTTCTCTCTCTTACCTTCTCTATCCCTTCGACCAAATTCAGGTGTCGTTTATAGTCTTCCTCTTATTTATGTTCTACTTCTTTTTATAGATATCCAATACAATTATTTTTATACGATTCCACTAAAATTGATAAGGAAGTTTTGGTGGGTCTCAAAAAAAAAAAAAAAAAAAAACCGAGAAAATCCTTATTTGTCACATAAAATCATATTGGGCGGCAGTCAATAGAAATCTAAATTTTTATTAATTGGTCCACTTGAGAACTAAAATTAGCAAAAATTTCAGAATTCCCCCCTTTTTACTCTCATATATTCCTTAATGGTAATAATAAAAAAGAATTCTAATAAATAAGACCATTGACATTTCTTCTTTCATAAACAATCCGAGTACCAGTGGCGCAGTAATTTGAACTACATTCTCGTGAAACGTTACGAGGCATATTTGAATCAGGCGTCAAAAAATTTTTTATTTCTTTGTCTCACGAGAAAACTTTTTTTTTTAAAAAAAATAATGTCAATTCTGAAAATAGCATACTTAAAAGCAAGCCATACTTTTCGTTGAGATTAAACTTTATTTTGATAAATCATCCATCCAAAAATAAACAATAAAAAAAGCAAGCAATATATATATTTATTTTATATATATATATATATTTTAAAAAAAAAAAGATTGTGTTTGTAAATGTCATTGAATTAAATAATAAATAAATGAAAGTTCAAGATACAATGATGCACCGTAAATAAATGTAAACTTTTTAAAAGAAAAAAATATCGCTCCTTTAAACCATGTTAATTCTATGAATTACATTTTTTCTTCAAGCGTTTGAATATTCGAAGTTTCCTCCGCATGAGTAAGTTTTTGTCCTGTGAGATCTTTTGAAATTCCGCTGATTACATTCATAATACTACGTCTCGATTCAAAAACCTAAAAATTTGAAAGAAAAAAGGGTTATCATAAGGGGGAAAAAGAAAATTTCTCGAGTTTAAAAGTTATACTCACGGGATAAATCGTGGCACAAATGGTAGCGCATATAGCCCAAATCATTGAGATTGCCACCCAAAATGTAAAGAATGGTTTCGTGAAAACATAATTGGAGAAATACATTGGTAACGGCCATATTAAAACCAGTATGATCGTTAATACAACAGAACTCGTAACAGCAAATTTGAAGGCCGCCCTTAATCTAACAGGATCTTTTTCCATTGGATCCTCATGGATAGCATTAACATTTACTTCATCATCCGTTAAAACTTCCAACTTAGTTCTGGTTACTTCGAAATCAAAATTATCTGGTTTAAACAATGATACGACCGTTGCTATTATTCCTGATGTTATTAAAGATACACTACATAAAAGAGAATAGGATAATAAGTAGATGCCTCTGTGTATATATATATATTATCGTATATGAAGAAAACAGATAACTTACAGATTTCCAGCCAACATGGGGTAATTTTCACCGGTTGATTTAATTGTAATTTCTTGATATAGAGATTTAGCTGTAACAAGCCATGCCGTAATACCGCAAACAACACCTATTAAAGCGGCAGAAATAGCGGCTGGGGCGGTTTGTTTTGACCATGTGATCGTGTACGCAACAGGAATAACGGCGGGGGAAGAAATAATTCCCATTAGCAAATACATATATCCTAAATCGATCTTGATGTAATTAAGTATAGTAGCTAGTCCGCCCATAAGTATACCAAAGCAAAAAACAGAAATATGTGATTGTCGAATAACTTGTCTCCCAAGAGCCTATCGTTATTTACGAAAAACGAATATTATAAGTAATTGAGAAATATTACCAAAAAAAAAAAAAAAAAACTTACGCCAGAGTGAATATATGCACGATAGATATCGTAAGTGTATATTGATGACACGGCAATAAGTTCGGCTGAAGCGGCAGATCTATAAAATTTGTTAATACTTGTAAACAAAAATAAGAAAAATTTTGAAATCTAATATTAATACATACGTGACAGCCATGAAAACTAATATCAGAACAGCGAAAGCACCAGGTTTGCCCAAAAGAGCAGTAGCAGCGTATGGAAGTACTAAACCAGCAGAAACTTCGTCGTCGGTAAGAGGGGCTAATTTACCAGCACCGACAAGAGCAACACCGGCGATACCCATAGTAGTAGCCAAGGTGAATGGAATTGAAAACCATGATAAACCTCCAATCAAATAAGCCTTTACAGTGGAAGAAGGTCGAGCAGCGATAGCACGTTGCCAATAAGCATTATCCACAAATACGGTTCCGAAATTACCAACAATATTGATGATACCGAAGATTAAACCTTGTAAGGATGCCATCGTTACAAATGATCCCTGTTCATTTTCAGTTACAGAACAGATCCCATATGTTGGATACTTCGCAATATTCGGATAATCAATTTTAAATTGCTCTTTATCGCAAGGTTTTTCGGAGACATCGACCAACAAATCATACATTTTTTGTGGGGATCCGATAGTTTCCGATGAGCCGTAAACAGTGAATAAGAAGGAAAGTATAATAATAAAAATAACACTAGTATGTACGTAATCCGTCAAGAACGTTGCTTTTAGACCACCAAATAATGTATAAATCAATACACCAAGTGGAAGTAAAAAACAAGATGCAATAATATTGACACCGGTGAGTGCATTTACTACAGCTGAGCCACCGAGTAACAACATGGCAGTTACAATCACTAAATTATAAAGAATTTTTATTTACTTTTAAACACATTCTTTTCCTTCATAAGAACATAAATATTTTTGAAAAATGTTTATTTACCGTTAGTGGCCAAACCGAAGAATAGAAAGACAATATGGGTTCCTTTTCCATAACGGACATAAATAATTTCAAGGAAGGTATGTGCATTTGGTGCTTTTCTTTTAAGTTCGATAGCAAGAATAGCGAAAAGCAATACCTATATTCAGTAATCAAAAAAAAAATATATCTGTTATAATATTTAATTAATACGAAAAAGTTGAATAATGAGAATAATGAATACCTGAATGGTAGCACCAGAAGCATACCAAAAAGGTCTAATTGAAAATAACAATTAGGAATTGGAGCACGTGATTAAAAATAAACACAAAAAAAAAGTTATTCACTTACCCAGAAACGCCATATTTATATGCAACAGAAGAGGATTGTAAAAGTGTAGCAGCCCAAGTCCAAGAAGAGACCACAGCGGATGCCACAAGACCGGTTTTTACGGAACGATGAGCCGTCATAAACATTTCGGATGTTTGGTATTCTTGGAGATAACGTTTTTGGGCCATTGTTAAGAGTGTCATTAAAACAGCAAAGAATGCACCAAATCCTAAAACTACATAATGAAATAAGATGATCAATTAAGGAATTTAATTGGGATTGCTGATGAATATAAGTTATTATAATTACTTATTCCCCAACCAACTCCCTGATCGAGAATAGCCATTTCGTAAAGTTATATTATAAATCAAAAAAAAAAAGGATTGATCTTTTATTTTTTTCAATATTAATATTTACAAAAGAAAAAAAGAAATTATAACATTTAAGTTATTGTTTTCATAAAAAGATATTTTATTTCCTCAAAGAAAATAATAATAATAATAATTGTCGTTAAAAGTTCGTTAAAAATTTAAATTCGTTATAAATTTATCAGTTTCCTAAGTCTTTTTTTTTGAACGGGTAACTGATGAAAAAAAAAAATTCTGGTTGATTATTGCCGTGAATTTATAAGAATTGATTCCTTCACGAAATCTAAATAAATGAAAAATCAAAATCTTTTTCACACAAATCGATTATTTGATTGTAACCATCGGATTTCACAGAAAATCATCGAATTAATACTAATACTATGTACTTATGGCGTATTTTTTAGCATGCTACTAAATAAAGTTCGAGAATTATGGAAGAAAGTAGTTTACGTTTTTTTATACATTGTATATGTACACTGATACAAACACAAGTGGGAAAAATAATGATGAAAATAATCACAACATGAACTCTCTTTTAAAAGTATGTATGTTTAGCGGTGAAACATAAACAAACAATTTCTTATCTTTAGCTAAAATTGATATAGCATGAGCATTACATAATCAACCAAACCAATAATTGGTTCTTAACACTTTTAATTTAGGATTCTCATCATTTTTTTAATGTAACCGGAAGAGATAAGTGTGCAAGAAAGATTTGATTATCGATGGGATTACTCTTATGAAGACTATGAATTACTATGAATTTCATTTCAATATAAATGAATTTTTTTTTTTTTTTGCAAAGTCATAGTGCGACCGCCAATCGGAATTTTTATCGAATAACGGGGAAATTCCGATAAAAACCCTGAGCAAAAAAAGATCGTATAACAGAAATTGTGAAACTTTTTGATGTTATAAATGACTGAAAATAAGTTACATAAGATTTGTTTGAAGAGGTAATCCAATTCATTCCTATCAAAGTCCTTTTTATGGAAATTCACTCCTTTTCAATAAAAAAATTTTTTTTTGGAATGATAAGAAAAAATTGATTAAAATAATGCTGATATGAGAAAAAACTCATAAAATCAACAATCGCTGATGGATTTATCAAAAAAATGTTATTGAAGGTTTTACTATAACAAATGATTTAAAGACAAAGAAGTATCTTGCAGGTTTATATTTTATGAAAACATGTGAATAGCACCTATCTTGACAACAATCTTAAAATCTTATCAATCTATAAGATCGCTAAAATTATCCGTGTGTTACACGATATTGCGTTACAAAAATTGAAGAAAATTTTCTTATCAAGGATCCCGAATTTGTCCATATTACATTCTCTGAATTCATGATTTTGATTTGACGTAAAATTTTCTTATCTTTGATGAATTACGTTAAATTCTATCCATCAATTACTGTGATTAAACATCTTTCATACTATATAATAAACCAAATCTATGGTGTCATGTGACAGCATGCAGCTGAGTTATAATAATGAGAATTTATATTAAATTTTTTTTTTTTATGTAGCTTCAATTTCATTGTTATCTGCAAGTATGATGCAATCTTTTAGTGTACGCTCCTTATCTTTTAATAATACACAATTTTATACAGGAATTGAAAATCGGTAGATTTTAATGTTTATATTTTACTGTTTTATACGCGAAAAAAAAAATAAATTCGGGAAAGTGAACTTGATTCTTCCAAATCCATTTTTTTTATTCAGATAAAATTAATTAAATAAATCTAGTCATGTATCTTTACATTAACCTTTTACAAAATTAAACTTTTTCGTGATCGATGCACGTGTCAGATAAAACTTAGTTTAGTTGAATTATTAATTAAAAGTTTATATTTTCAGCTTGTCGTACAAACCACAACCTCTTTTTCGCGTTATTATTTAGTTTTCTAGATTCTCACACATTGATCTAAACGTCAAAGGAAAACTTGTTACTGCACTGCTGCAATTTATGTGCTTTTTAGTTTGCTTATATTATTTTTTATTTATTATTATTTTTTTTTATTTTGGGAAAGATTAACTTTATATTAGTGAATATATTATTTATATGATAATATTTACTTTGTTAATTTATGCCTCATAACATAATTAATTCATTTTACTATTTTGACAAGTTTCACCAAATTGTACTGCGTTACCGAGATGGTGTTACCTTTTAGTTAGAATGTAATGATACGTATAATTTGATATAAACAATAAAAGATCAAAATGTTTTAGAATCTATCTTCACGAATCTCAGTTTTAGAAGGAGAACTATCATGTCGCGCTCTACTTGTTTGGTCACCTTGAAAATACAAAGAGAGAAAATTTTTTTTAATTAAGATTCTCTTCTTTTTTTTAAAAATATATATATATATATATATTTATATATTAAACCACCCAATTCCTGACAATTTCATTATATGTCGCATTAACAACTGAAATTTCAAATGATTCAGCCGCATTTTGAATTTGTCTCAACCCTTCATTTGATAAGAATGAAGGACTTTTTAAACTTCTTTTGAATACATAATTCAATTTCTTATTTCTTTGCACGAATACTATGATTATGTGTGCCGTCACGGCTCCCCGTAATATAATTTAATTCCTCTTGACTTTTCCTTTAAAAAGAAAATTATTAGTTTTAAAGATAATATTTGATTTAACTTTACAGTATATTGATTTTTGACCTACAAAAGATTATTCCAAATATGGCATAATAATAAAAATGATTCTGCTCATAAATAATAAATTACGTTATCTGAATACGCGTGTGTGTAACGAATGATATTACGATTATCAAGATATTAAAACTCGAAAAAAAAAAAAAAATACATAAGCAGTAGCAAAGAATATACGGATAATAATAACTATTAAACATCGGAGGCTTTAACTTTTATTATCAGTCACATGATTAGTAACTTACTGCGCACAACAAATATCATTCAATCTTTGAAAAAAAAATGCAGGTTTTTATTAGTCGATCGTCATACTTTGCTCATATCGTGTGAACATTGTAGATTATAAATTAAACAAACTAAAATAAAACCAATTAATTCTCTTCTATCAAACGAAAATGACATCTGAAACAAAAAAATTATCTACAGAATCCAAAAATACTGTCGAAATGGATCCCGATAATCAATGGGAAACAAAAGTCGAACTAGAACCTCCATCAAGTAATTCGAAAAATTGGTAGTGATTCGGAGCAAAAACAACTTTGTTTTATTTCCTAAATGTTACTGAAGTACTATTATTTAACAGGTCATGGAAAGAAGTCGGGAACGAACAATGTCAAATTTGTCTAGCTCCGGATAGTTCTTTGCCAATCTTACCACCTGAAGATACAACTCCACTTGAAATAAGATATCCTTTGGATAAGGAAGCTGATGATACTAATGTAATAGCTGATAAAATCGGTCACAAACAAGGTGCATATATCGAATTGGAGGATGGGACTGCATTGTTAGTTGGATAAATTCCACTTTCGAAAATTAACTCTTTACATTTATTCATATTAATAAATATTATTTTCATGGTTCAATCATTCAACGTTCTTGCCTTTTATCGAATACTTTAAATAACAGATACAAACGAGATAAGGGACAAAGCTTAACAAAAAAAAATACAGTATATCAACGTCCTTCCTATAATTATTTTTATGATTTTTTCCAATCTTTTATATAAAAATTAAAAATATATCTTTTTCTTATTAAAAGAGGGTATTACTTGGTTTTCTTTATAATAATAACTAAAAAAAAAAAATACAGTTCAAATTGTTATTTATATTATTATCATTTATATATTAAAAAATAATATATTTTAATATATTTAATTTATTTAATTAAATAATATCATTTATCATTATTATAAAGTTTATAAAATTATAAGATAAATTATTAAATAATATTATTATTTAGAATTATTATAATATTTATGATATTATGAATTTTTATTTAATCCTATTTAATAAAATTAATTAAAAATTATAAAAGAATTAAATAAAATATCAAGGATATATTTTTTTAAAATCTTATTAATTTATTCATTTACTTTTATTAATTCATCTTTTTATTAAATATTATTAATCCAAAATAATTATTAAAGATAATATAATACTTTTATATTTTATAATTTTTAAAATGAAATCTAATTTATATTTTTTAAAATAAAAAAAAAAGCTAAAATTTTATTTATTATAATAACATTATAATAAACATTTTTATTAAATATTTTATAAAATATTCTGATAAAAAGATCATAAGAAATCTCTTTTATAATAATTATAAAGATCTTTTTTTGTATTCTAAGTAAAGTTATTTATTGAATTCAAAACTACTTAAATCTAAATTTTATTAATATTAAATTATATTTGTAAAGTAAATAATAATTTATATAATAATGCTAACTTTAAATTTTTCCATTTTATTTAATAAATGTTAAGTATAATTTGAAGATTTAATTAAGATAAATCATTTTTGTAATTTAAAAAAAATATATAATAAGTTTAACCTATTTAAAATATCAATATTGGATTAAGATTTATAAAGTAAATAACATTTTATATAATAATAATAAATTACAAATTTATTTTGTTTCTCTTTAAAATATAATTAATTATTTTAAATATTTTTAAAGTTAATAAGTAGATTCAAAATTAATATTTAAAGTAAATTATGTTTTTATAATATAATTTATTATTTATTTAATAAATTAAATTATAATTTAAATTCTTTGATCAAAGTAAACTATTTTTAGTAATATAAATAAAGTTATTTAAAAGTTTTGTATTAATATATTTTTAAGATTTATTAATTATAAATTAAATCTAATTTATAAAGTAAATAACATTTTTATAATATTACTAATTTACAAATTTATTTTTTTTATTTAATATTTTTAGAATATAATTTTAAAACTTTAATCATTTTAAATTATTTTTAACAATTTAAATAATATTATTCAACAAATTCAAAACTATTTAATTTAAATTTTTATTAAGATTAAATTAGAATTTGTAAAGTAATTAACATTCTTTCTAATAATACTAACTTATAATTTATTTTTCATTTATAACTTAAGTATATAATTTAATTATTTTAATTAAGTAAATTATCTTTAATATTTTAAATAATATTATTTATTAAGTTTATTATTATATAAATCTAAAGTTTTATTAATTTTAAATTAATATTTATAGAATAAATAGCATTTTATAAAAAAATATAGTAAATTTTCAAATTTTTATATTTTAATAATATAGTAAAATACCATTATATAATATAATTATATTATAAGATAATATTCTATTTGCTTTAGATTATAGTATTATAATATATAATTAGTTTATTTTATAGCAAATTTTAATATAATAAAATATGTAATATAGCAGATTTTTTACATGATACCAATTTTAGCATATATAAAAAGCTTGTTATACTGAATTTTACTAATTAAATGCTGTATAACGTTTAACAAAATTAGTCTGTGAACCTGCATATATAAATAACTCCTTTTATAACAGAATTTTTTTATAACAAAATTTTCTCTAATTTTATCTGAATATAATAAAGATTTTTGCGAAATGAATTTTACTATAAAGGACAATCAAGCATTCATTTTGCATAAAATCTCTTTTTAAATATAGCAACCAATCCTTCACTTATATTAATTATTATGATAAAATTAATAATGGATGTTCATATTTTGTTCATGTTTTGTTCATATTTCATATTTCATTCATATTCATATTTCATACAACTTTTTTAAAATACCAAAAACTGTGTCTATAACCTTTAAGAAACAAAATGAAGCTTCCAAAAAGATAAAAATCTTTTACTGTAGTTTAAAAAAAAGAAATTTGTCTTAAAAAATATCTACATCTTTTTTAAAACAAAAAGAACTAGCTAATGAATATAATGTAAGTAAAGGAATAATTAGTGATATTTTTTAAAGGCTAAAGACCATTGGCTTACTGTGAATCTTAACTTATATTAAGCTAGTTTGTGACATAAAAAAATCTTCCTTTTATTATTATTAAAGAGACGTTAACTCTTTAGGTAGAAAGTGTACTTCAAGCTAATATTATAATTAGTAATGATATTCTTTTAAATAAAGTCTTGAAATTTGCTTTTTTATATAATAAAAGTAAATTTAAAGGGTCAGATAGATGGGTTGACAATTTTAAAAAGTAGCATAATCTCAAGCAATACACTATGCAAGAGAAGCTACAAGTGCATCACTTCAAAATCTTGACATAATGTGTAAAAATCTCTATCAAGTTCTAAAAAATTATGCTCCTGATGATATCTTTAATTGTGACGAAACAGGCTTTTTTTGGAAAATGTGACCTAATCATACTATATCCAATAGGCCAGTTGCTAGAATAAAATAATCAAAAGATTGTATAACTGTTTTATTTACTTATAATGCAACTAGAAGTGAAAAATGCTCTTATTACTCATATGCAAATATAAAAATCCTCGAGCTTTAAAAAATATCAATAAGAATACTCTTTCAGTAAACTATTATTGAAATTCAAAAAACTGAATGCAAGTATCAATTTAAAACTAATATCTCAAAGATCTTGATTCTAAAATGAAATAATAAATCAAAATATCTTTCTTCTTATTGATAATGCTCTAACCCATTCTTTATATGAAACTACAAATCTTACAAATATTACTATTTATTTTCTTTCTCCAAACACTACTATATACCTCTAACTATATGATGTAAGAATCATTCATAGTTTTAAAATAAGTTTTAATTTATAATAAGAATACATTGATTTTCACCTTATATTAAAAATTTTTCTATTTTTTTTAGGCATAATATAAAAATTACTATTAAAAAATTGAATTAAGGCTTTTGATAATTTTAATAAATATGATACTAAATCTGTTAAAATTAATATTAAAAAGTGCATCAAATATATTATGTACGCATAAGATAGTATTACACAAACTATAATTAAAAATTATTGATTAAAAACTGGTATTTTGTCTAAAGATGATGAGAATAAAATTTATATAGATAATTATACTAATATAGTTTATTTGACACATATAAAAGAATTAGATGAAATTCAAATATAGATTAATCAACTTAATTTTGAAGAACTTTTTATTGCTGAAGAATTTATTCAATATAATAATTCTGAAATCATAACAGAAATATTGTCTAATGAAGAAATTTTGAATGTGGTTCTTCTTAATAATCAAGAGAAGAAAATAGAAGAATCAGATAAACCTTTACTATCTATTACTCATAATGAAGTTATTGTATTATAACAAATTAATTTTGTATTTGAAGTAATAGAAGAATGATTTTGATATAAAAAAGGAAGAAATAAAATTAGTTAAAAAGCTAAAAAAAGAAACTTTAAAATAATGTTTTATTTCTATAAGGTAGACTAATCTTAATAGTTTTATTAATATTAATTAGTATATTGCAAAATCAGATCAGATCAGATTTGAATAAAATCTGATTTGATCTAATTTTTATTTTTTAGGATCTGAATCCAATCTGAATCTGACAGATCTGTTGAAATCCAGATCTGATCTGAATCTGACAGATCGAATCTTAAATCCAGATCTGATGAATCAGTTTAAATCCAAATCTGATCTGATCTGAATCTAAAATTTTTATTGAAAAATGATTTTTTAGTACCTGATCCCTTATTGCAAAATCACCCAAATAAATTCTATAAAAAACAATTAATATTAAAGAAAAATAAATAAATAAATAAAAAAGAAAAATTAATATACTTACCACTTTAGTTATTATCATTAAGACCACAAATCCTGAAATAATAGAATTTAAATTAAATAAATAAACAAAAAAAAAAATAAAATAATAAATAAACAATAAATTAACTCATCACTAATTGTTAGTAATTTATTAATCTACAAAAAAAAAATATTAGTTAAATAAATTTTAAATAATAATTAAATTATAAAATAAACTCACATATTGCTTACTACAAAATAGTCAGTTATAATTATTAAAAAAGAAAAATAAATAAATTTAAAAAATAAATAAATAAAGAAATAAAATCCACTTACCAATGAATTCAATATCACTAAGAAATTTGTTGTCTCTATCCTGAAATAATATAATTTAAAAAAAATAATAAATAAACAAATAAAATAAAAGAAATTAATAAATAAATAATAAATTACTTACCATAACCGTTAATAATTTATCCAAGCCACAAAAAAAAAAATTAAATAATATTAATTAAATTTAATAAAAAATTAAATCCCAACCTTTTATTACAAATAAAATTGCTAATTAAAATTAAAAATAAATAAATAATAAATTAAAAAAATAAACAAACAAAAAAATTAAATTAAAGTAACTTATCGTTATAGTCACTAATCGTTAATTTTATAATTTTTAATTGATCCTGAAATATAGAAATTTAAAAATTAATATTTTTAATTTACACACATTTTGACATTTTCCCCTTTTATT